AAAAAAAGAGTTACCATACTTATATATATTTATATATTTAGTGTACACTAACATTTGTGGCTTTCCAAACCGAATTTTTTATCGACTAGAAATTTTTTGAAGCATTAGTAGCAATTCGAATGGAAACTGTTTTAAAATCTGCAACTTTTTTCACCAGATGACCGAGTTTTTTCTAGATTTACCATTTCCAGTTTGGGCATTCTTAATATGTTTACCTTCAGTCATGAGGATCAAAAAAAAATAAAGGCACAGTTCCTGAGGTGTAGAATTAAAACAGATACATAGCTCTTAACATATGAGCTTATTTTAAAGCTTTTTTATACGTTTTTCTTTTTCAATTCTCTGGAAACAGTCAAGAAAAACAGGAGAATATATATATTTGTGAATAGCTACTTTTTTATTTGTTGTTTTACTGATAGTGGTGTTGATACATTATCAATTATAATTTACATTAGTTACTTATTTGTTTTTTCTTTCTTTTTTTGGTTTGGAAAATTTTTGCACTTTTTTTGGCCATCATAGATCGTTATTGTTTTACTGCTATTGCCGCTTCTTTTTTTTTTTTGTTTTTCTTTTGGAGCAATCCTGGAAGATTTGCAAACCGAATGAAAAAGGATTGGAAAAAAATATAAATCAGAGATGGAAAAAAAATGTTAAATGAAGTTGAAAGCCTCAGTATTTTTTTTGTCTTTGTTTTTTAGTTTCTCTTATTGTTGTTTCCTAAAATGATGAATTTGTTCTTTTCAGAAAACAAAAAAAAAGTTATCCTCGTTTTTTTTTTTTTTCTAAGGAAGAGAGAGGGAGAACGACACAGCAGTTTAGAATTTTGTTGTGTTGTTTTTTTGTCGTCTTCTTGTTGTTCTGCAGTATTCAGTAAACAGTGGTATTTAAAATGCAGCGTATGAGTTCAAATATCAACTTACTGCTGCTCTGGTTATTTATTTTTGTATTTAATTAGGTAACTTTTTGCTGCTGAATATGGTTAAAAATGATGTTGAAAGAGGTGTAGATGGAAATAATCTTAGGTGTAGAAATTTATGGCCATCTGGTCAAA